AGAGTGTGCAAAAGTAAATGAAGTGCTGGTATTAGAGGAACCCATGCTGCTGCTTTTTGAATAGTTGCACTGGGTGAACTAATGTAAATTGCTTTCACCTTGTAGGAGGAAGCAACTGCTTGAAATCACTGCAGTTTAAGATTTAACTGCTGCTGCTTTTTTAATAGGTGTTTGGGTGTTTCTGCCAGAAATGGCAATTTCGTGATTCTGGAAGAGGGGTGATTTTGTCTATGGGGGTCTTGGAATTTTTTTTTTTTGCTTGTTAGAATGATTTGTTTTGAACTCCATTGCATTCCAGAACTTACCATAGAATCATAGAATGGTTTGGGTTGGAAGAGACCTTAAAAATCATTAGTTCATCATTCCCTCCCTGTTCCACTTATCCCGTTGGACGTGGAAGAATGTATCTGAATTTTTATTTATGTCTTTGCTTGCAGGAATGAGTGTATCTATAGGTGTGGAGAGCTTCTTTGCAAGGCTCACCTCTGTTTTCCATTGTGTTTTGAAGGTATAGGCTCTTCTTTCACTAACACCTCTTTTTTTTGCTAAGGAAAGCCGTGAAAATGAGGTTTAGTGTAGTTTGTTACTGCTCATTAAACCAAAGTGTCTTAGAGCAGCTAGGTGTGACAGTTTTCTTTTTCAATCTGTCAGACTTTGAGTATGGCTTAAGAGTTTCTCTAGTTGATAGTATCTGAGTATAGAGGAGAAATTATTAATTGTAAGTGGTGACAGCGATTCAATTCCTTTGCCAAGCTTTGAAAAGAGAACTTACTAAATCTCAATCCTCTGTCATATTTAAGATACCAGAATAGCTGTATTTGTTAAGCATGTCTGCTGCTAACAGTCACTCCTGGTTTAGCTTTACTCCTCTATGTAAAGCAAATGGTAGCAGGTGTAGATATATATACAAACACAGCATGCATCTTAGGAAGAGATTAAACTGTGTTGCAGATCTTAGTCATGTTACTCTTTAATGCACTACTACAACGAATGTGCTGTTAGGATTGCTGTAGTGAGTTGACTAGGAAAAACTACTGCATTTCAGCTTCGAGTTTTAGATTAATGTAAATCACAGTAAGCTTGCAAAGAAAGGAATTCACCTTTCTTCACAAGTGTAATTTATGTATGATAGTGTTGATACTGTGTGGTCCACTTGGATGATAGGTAGTACTGTGGTATAGGATTGGCAAGAGTGTATTACTATGAAAGTGCCTTTAAAGGAAAGAGAAGAGGAATGTCTGTGCTTAATGTGAGAATACTAAAGAATAACTAAAACAACTCAGAAGTAGAAAGCCCTGGTAAAAAACTTTAGCTGGTAAATAGGAATCTTAGGTAACTGAGCCCATAGGAGATGAGCTTTCCGCTCTGGTTACACTTGTCATGTGAAAACAGGGCTGAGGGTATGTGCAGCCTTTGGGGTCCAAAGCAAAATCTGTAACCTTAGTACACCTATGTCATTAAGATTATTCTTACATAATGTTCAAGCTATTTTTTTCCCTTCAGAGCTGTCAAAGGCACATGTGCACACATATACACACATCCACATAAAGATTATGTGTATATATACACACACTCATATATATGCAGTGACGAAAGTAATGTAACACTGACTCATTGTCACTGGATCAACAATTGAACGTGTGAAGCATAGTTGTCTTTGTAGAAAAATTGCATTTCAGCCACTGAATAACAGGCATGGAATTAGAGCTTTTTTCTTTCCGTGACATATGCAGGGCAAGTACTCAACAGTGTGTGCTTGGAGGAGGAAAATCTTCAGTCTGTGGGAGAAGCAACAACTGTTACACTTTGGCTCTATTACTTCGAATTTAATGTGAAATACATTAGGTCTTCAACTGGGTTTTGTCTGCAAACAAATGCCATTTTGAAGATGTGATGCAACAAACGTTGCAGATAGCTGCAACTTCAGAGCAGCTTTAGATACTGCATCAGACTTAATGGCAACGTTACCTTTGAGACAAACTAGCACCTAATGAATTGAATAAAGCTTTTGTGCTGTTTGGGTAGCCAGTGTGTGTGTGAATATGCATGTTCTATGTTCTGTTGTCTCCACAGTGTTTTACAGCTAGTTAACAAGGCTTGATAAGCTGCTGTCTGCTTTTAGCAATGGTAGTTCTCTGTCTAGATTTCTACAGTAGTTACTATGTTAATTAAAGATACTGAGTTTTGCATAATGTAATATAAGTAGCAGAATAGCTTTGCCAAAAGGTAAAAATAGCAGCAGTAAGGTACAGATTTATTCTCTTCTGGCAAGAGAAAAAATAAGGTGATATACTATGATCCAGGAATTCTGTGCTTGTTACTGGTTTGGTTATATTTCTGTTACAAATGGATTGAATGCTGTTTTCAGAGGTTCTCCTGGCTCTAGGAAGGGCTCTGGACCTTGGAAGTTGTTGTAGGAAAAGTAAATCCTATTACCCTTTTCAGTGAAGCTTCCACTGAAGAGAAAGATAATTGCAAGCTGGAAAAGGTCTGATCAGTGGGAAGAAGGGAAGGAACCCCAACAAACCAACATACAGCTCACTTAAAAATAGAGGTGAAGTTGGTGTGGAAGAGATGGACAAAAAGGACCTAGAAGCATGACACCACAACACATGTCACCTGTTGTGAGTACTGAGTAGATTTAGTTGTAGGAGTGTGACATTTTGGGAAGAATAGTGAAAGATGAATCATAATGGCAGAACTCAAACTTGGGAAGAAACACAAGCGGGTCTAGAGAGGGACTGTGCTTGAAGGAGGGGTAATGAGGAGGCTGAGCCTTTCCACGGCATAGAAAACCAGAGAACAGCCCTGCCATCTTAAGAGAATGGCATCACAGCACTGATGGAGGTAAAAGCAAGCTCACAAACTGCGTTTGCATAGTGTCTATCATCCTGTTATCGGCAGCACTCGCTGTGGATTTTCTTGCATTAATAGCTGCTGCCAAGGGTAACTTCCTGTCTGCTCCCTCTGTCCTTCAAGACATAAGGAATTTGGGATTTACCACTTTCTAGCATAACTTGTCTGAAGGAATGGGCATAGTGGGAAGAGCTGGGAGGCTTTTGTTTGAGATGATAGTGCCATCTTCTTTGCAACAGCTGTAGTCCACCACACCCTACATGATTCCCTGAGCTTCACAAGCGCATCACCCTCACCCATCTCCGCTCAGCCTTTTTCCACTTTAGGGGCTTACTGGTCAGTCACACCCGTGTGAAACCAACCCCCAAAACAAATGTGAGAAAACCCAAATATATCTTCCTTGACAAATTCTTAGTGAGTTAAGCTTAAAGCATGCAGTTTCTCTTTAACACCAGCCTTGACTATTTCTAAACAGCTCATCCATTTTGCTACAGCATATTTTTATTGACTGCTATATAGGCTCTGTAGAAACAGTAATGCAAAGGAGGCTAAATAGAGCTAAATCAAAGTTATTTAGAAATAATGTAAACAGATTATTCCTGCAGCATACTAACTTGTTGATGGATTTGACCTGGGCCACTGTTCAGCTGTTCCCTGTAGGATTTTTTAGTCCTCTGCCGTTCCCTGCCCAGTGCTAGTACTCCTCAAATCGCTAATGATATAGTAGGGCCTAACTGTTTTCCTTTGGCCATCACATGCATAAACTGATGTTTTCACAAGTAAAACCCATCATTTGCTCTAGCAGGCAACTAGTTTGTCAGAAAAAGGTGGCTTAATCATTCATGTAAGTTTAGAAAGGATCATCTTACAACAGATGAACACAGATTTTTCCAACTATAAGCACATTATCTTTGCAGCAAGTGAAAGTTTACTTGCTTGTCCAACAGGCTCTGCTTCGGGTGTGCAAATTCTGCATTTTCTAATGGAGGTCAGGTAAGGGTGATTAGAAGTATTGATCGCATTTTTTGCTGTTGTGTTTGGATTGTTTTTTATAAAGACTAAAGTAGACCACCATCAACTATTATTGCAAGAAGAAGCATTCCTGAAAATTTAGTTTTTACTTTCGAGGAACCTTTACTTTCATAGTAAGTATCGAAGTATATGGTATTTAATATGAAGCCTGTTTCAAAAAATGAGTACTACATGATCATAGAGGAAGGAAACAAATTAACTAGAACCCCATTGTTCTGTCTTATTGCTGTTTTTTACTGGGTAACATATCCCAACAATTCAAATAATTACAATGGTTTTCCAAAGTGAATCCCCTGAAATGTAGAACGAGCAGTTCTCTATTTCTAAAACTAGAAAAGTTTATGTTTTAAGGATCTGTGCTTTAATTAAATGTTTTCAGGCAGCTGAGATTCTTGCGTAATTTTTCAGAGCGCATATGAGTCAGAGTGGTACAGACATGATGGTTTTGTGCTGAATTTCTTTAGAATGCTGGAAATAAGAGAAAATTAACTTCTGATTACTATTTTTAATTTTACACAATTCATGTTTACAATTCTTACTATTCAATATTTGTATAAAATGAAATACAATATGCAGTATTTTCAAATGAGACACAAATGCATATTGAACTACTTAATAATATGAAGCTTTATCTTAAAAATACCTTCAGCAAAATAAACTCCCATTCTGTCAATCCAAGTTAAAAAAATATGATTAGAAATATACAATTTAAAAATAACCAGGATGAACAACACTGATTAGTCAAGAAATTTTTGATCTTGATAGTCTGTACATGAGTTTATGCAATACAAACAGAGAGCAAACCATTAATACAAAAACTGCAGTGCAACGAACAGGTGAACATCACATTTTTCTTTTTTTCTGTTTTAACGTATGAGTCTCTACAAATAGTTTTTTATTTTAAATCAGCAGCACTTCCTCTGTTGTCATACCGGGGCAAAAATACATGGTCTGTGTTAACATCTGAGTTAAGTTATTGACGCTGTAATGGAAGCCAGCAATTTGATCCAACATATTACAGCTTTTGAGTATGTTGCATACTTCTGAATAAGAGATCAAGGGAGAATCCATCTGTCATGTATTTGAAAGAGGGGAAAGAATTTCTAAGGAAAAACTCCTTATTGATGACAGCAGAAATAACTTCCTTCAGCTGCTCCGTGCTATGATGGTGATGCAGCTGCCGCCACACATTCCATTTTGGCACATAATACTTCAAAAAAGATTTAGAATCCAAGGACTCCCTCACCCATGCCCACTCTTTACTCTTGTACTTAAGACAGCTCTGGTATGGTATAATAAAAATGCTAGACAACGTACTAAATATTCAGAAGAATAAACTAAGCAACACAATTAGATGGGACACAATGAGGTAATGAGTTAATTTTCCATATAAGGCTGTTTGGAGAGTTCAAATGTAAAATCCCTTTGACACTTACATGTTTCTCACTAAGATACTGGGTGGTGGACAGGGTATCCTGAAACACATTCATGCCAAACATGCAGTTTTGGTTTCACTGGAGTTGCTACTGTGTGTGTTTGTGCACTTGTTTTATGCAAATTTACTTCTGATGAACCTGAAAGTGCTAATGGCTCTGCTGGTTACTTCAAAAAAGGCAAATTCCAATTTGGAAGGGGTGTGAAACAGACTGATTATTTTTAGGTTAAAAATGAAGATGCTGAAAGAGGAAGCTCAGTTAGGAGAATGGCAAAGCCAAACACAGTAAATATTACAGCACCATACAAGCCTCTTCTGTTTTCTCTGTGTTCGTATTCGATAGTTTTAACTATCCAAACTCAAGGATGGTAGCTGTAGGCTTACTTACATTTCACATCCTGCTTCCCTGCCAACTCATGATGCACTTGCTACAAAATTTTTTCAAGCCAACGTGTGGTTATTCAAATTGGCATTTAAAAATCACCAGCCTAACAGAAAGCTTAATTTTAATTTAAAAGGATGTAGATTGAAACTAGTCACTGAACCTGCCCATTTACATTCATAAAAAGAAAAGTCTCCCCCTTGCAGAGGTAATCTGTATCTTTAAAAAAAATCAATTATTTCATTGCTAACATTGCAGATCTCTCCATTTCTTCTGGTTTCTGCTGTAAGTCACTAAATCAACAGATAACTGTATCATATTTAAGGCTATGTGGTAACAGTCCTCATCTGAGGGATATGCAGCTATAAACTTCAGTTGGCAGACAAGGGTACATCACTGCAAAGCCAGCTTTGAGATTTCATACTGTGAAAAGTGGTGGGGAAAAACCACTGCCAGTGTTTGAAGACAGTCTTGTAGCGGATGAAAATTCCATTCTCAGACATATCCCTTTAAAAATTACACTGCCTTTTTAACAGAGGTAAGCTGTAGTTTTTAAAGCGTTAATTAGATCTTAAAAACTATACCTGCCCCTGAGTTCCACTACCAATCGTTGTATAGCAAGCTTATTTTCCCTTTTTTGTGTGCTGCACTCATTAAGTGTCTCAAAGCTAAAAAACAGTGACATCCACATGTTACCAAGTGTACCAATAAACCCAGGAAAAATTCTTACCTATTAGATATGGTAATCTAAAGTTTAACCTAAAAGACTTGAAGCTAGCAGAAGAAACAGTAATGACATTTCAATATGACAGCACTGCTTTAAATGGTAAGCTGTTTTTCCTCCCCCTTAAAACCATACCAGATTTAAAGCAATTACAACTAGTTAAAAGTGCCATTGGTTGTGAACAACTAAAAATCTAGTACTATTAAAAACAAGTTAATCACTTATAGTTAAGTTTTTTCAAAATAAACAAACCACACAACCTTTGATAATAAAGCACTCTTTGGTGGACAATAGTTACTTTGTTTACTCAATACTGCGGCTTCATAAAAAACTTCATACAAAATAAGAAACAATAGCCAATTAACATAGGAGAGTACCAATACTATAAGAAAAAAGCTTTTGTGGTTGATTTTCAGTCCCAAGCGGAGACTTGAGCCCAGTCTGAATGGACAACACAGATTTATATATTTAAAAGCTCCCACCATCTTCTAATTTCTGGTGGTCAGCAGCTAGGTGATTGCCATCACAACTTTTACACATGCATCATACATACTAGCAAGCCCTCTTTATAAGAGAGAGCTTAAGTATTTACACCTGAGTCTGAACGTACACAGATTTTGTTGGTTTTGTTTGAAGAAGCGTTAGCACATTAGGAAAGTGTTTACCAAGCATAGTGACAGTTCATTTTATTCTACAAGTATGGAAAAGAGTCTTCTGTTTCACTTTTGCTGAAAAATGGAGCCAAAGTAATCTTCCTTGAATTGCATCTAGTCATATCCCCTTCATTCCCGAATATCCTCTTCAGCACTTCTTGCTTATTTGAAATTTAACGCAATACTGTTCTAGTCCTTGGGACACATTGGCTGCTGAAATAAAACATATTTGAGGAAAAAAGTTAAATATGTAGTCAATATGTATTTCAAGCAAACATTTCTGGCAAGGTAAAATGAGCAAATGATACTTGAAAGAAAGAAACAGAAGATAAAAGTCACTGCATATAAAAACACAACAATATTGGTTGTAAAGAAAGCACGGACTGCTCTGATCACAGACAATATGAAGAAAGGTTCCGTTCCATACAGAAAAGCAACAGAGGATTCAAAGTACCATAATTTCATTAAGCGCATTTGCTGTAAAGCATTCCTTTTCTTTCTCTCCCTCTGAGGTATCAGACTGTAGGAAAAGTAGAAAGAATAGTAAAGAAACATTAATTTTTTTAAAGCTAGATTTAGATTACATACAGACAAGCTCTGAAACACTGCAGGTAGTTTTCAGTGTTTGAACAAGGGTGCAGAAGGCTGCTTTACATTTCCAAGCAAAGCAAAAGCATATGAGATTTTTAAAACGTATTGCTCTTTGTTAGTTTTTGTGATATAACTCTCTGGTTAAAAGAAGTAAAGGAATCTATGCAGTGCAGTTTCCATACACGTTCCCCCCATACTCCCACTTGTTTTTTTGTAGTAACCTGACCTGCATTCCCTTAAGCACCTCTACCTATCAAAATTCCTTCACCAGTCAGGATTTAATTTCTAATCAACTACTTACTATACACATAATCCTAATTCTGTTCTATGTGGTAACACAAGAAAGACTGTTTCATTTGAGTCTTAATATGATTCAGTTGGTTTAGATCTGATGTATGTACGTTGTTAAAATACAAGCACAAACTTCTCAGTAATTGGCAAATTTACGAGAAAGATGTCTTAACTGGAGAAACAAGGGCATCCACAGAAAAAGACTGTATAATGCTCTAGTAATGTGATTTCTTGCAGTTCAACAAGCGTGTCATAATGAGTTATGTCCACCAGTACTGGTCTTTTGTAGATGGCAGCTGACATCTAAAGATGCTCCACAAACAAAATGCAGTGAAGGTTATGAATAGGATTGAAATTCCCTAAATTCTCTTTGCAAAGCCAGAATAGAGTGCTTTAGCTGTAAATGTCTGTTTTGGCTGAAAAATCATTCTGGAGGCATTCTATGACACTGACTCCAACAGTCTGAAGGGTGAAATGGCAAATGAATTACCCGGTTATACTGGATTAGGATGGGTCACAAATGTGATTCATCTACGGTAAGAATTGAGTAAAATGACCTAAAGAATCAACAAATGAGATTAATGCAAAAAACCTGCAAGATGTTTCCACTGGAACATATCAGGTAAGAAAATGAAAGAGGTACACAGTAATGTTGGAAGTTCAAAGAAGGCAACAAGGTCTTGACAAAGACAGATGTTGGTTAGGGCATGATCTCAATTTTGTGATAATTATTCTCCTCTTCATCTGGAATAGGTCAATCTGAGCACTATGAGGTGATGCAAACTGCACAGACTTCAAGAAATTAAAATAAAATTAAAAAGAGACAAAAAAACAAAGGGATGCTTAAAAAAAAAAAAAGTGAGGTTTTGCCAAAAGCTACAGGAAAAATAAAAGGACACCTACAGGTTTAACAACAAGCTACTGCATTCTAAGTCCATGAAATCATACAGTCATACCAAAACACCCTTTAGAGGGACCAGCACCCAATTAGTCCTCTCAGATGACAAGATAATGAATAATTCCAGAACAGTGACACAACTACTTAGGAAAAACTTGATTATTGGATCCAAGCATAAAGTGACTGAAATTCTTTGACCACAAAAGTTAGAAGAAAAGAGACAATATATGGAATGAAATATCTGGGCTAGAAGATTTAGAAAATCCATTAAAATATGAAGTAGTTTATGAAGTTTGAGATCAATCTGACCCTTGGTCCTCAGCGTCAAATCTGACAATACAGCTACAGGATTTCTTTCAAAATAACTCAAATAATCTATGAACTTTATTTTAGGGATGTTATTTCCTCCTAAGGATAGGTATTCTCATCTCACACAACATAAAGGTCAACTTGGAGGTGTGTTTTCCACGAAAAATCTCTGTTCAATTACACATGTGCATGTATACAGCCACCAAGCATTGCAAGGAGCTTAAAACTGTGAGAGGTATGAGGAATAGAAACAGCAGGTAGAATCCCATCAATTCTTTTTGGACCAAAACTGACATGGCAAAAAAGATACAAAATGGAGGAAAAAACCCCAACCAACCAAACAGGAAAACCCTGATAAATACTTCAGATTTTTAGTAAAACATGCATTTCAGTAAAAAGATTATTTTTTAACATATTGTTATACAAATCAAAACGTAATTCACATAGCCACTACTAAAATTTGACTAGAATTTACTGCAGTCTACTATTAATGACTATTTTGGTTGCCTGATAGAGTGAATTTTTCATAAGTTCTGTTACCTTCAAGGTAACAGGATGAGGAAGGGGAAAGAAAAGCTCTGTGGGGAAAAAGCTGCACAAGAATTTGGAATTTTCAGCAATTTTTACCAATCAAGCTACATCCCTACTTTTTATGTTATTTGCCACCTTTTACTGTTCCCAACAAAAGTAAGTCTCTTCAGCACCTCACAGACCCACACAAAAGTTTTTCACTGTAAGCACAAAATTGGTCAATTTTAACTACTGCGAATTGCTTGAAAATTGTATCAAGCTACAGTCTCAGGCTCATCTTTGATAATGACCTGGACAGCTGCTGTAGAGGGCATGAACACATGCACACACAGAGAAATGTAATATGGCTATATGCTTCTGGGCCAAAAGGCACGTTCATACTCGCATAAATCCATCTGAATTTAAAACTTCATTAAGCTTTACCAAATAGGTTCAGTTCAGATTATCAGCCACACTCTCAGTACAAAATCTCGTATCAGTGTACACATGCATGTTATACATTTCATGTCTCCGCTACTACTGCATTTCAGTTGTCCATCAAATTCCTCTTAGTTTTGACTTCAGGTACTGACTAATAATTGACTTAATGCTGTGAACAACTTTTCCACCTTTTACTCCAGGCAGAGGTTTGCTAAAGAAAGGCTTTTTTTGGTTACCCAAATCCCTCACTTTCAGTAATGCTGACTCATATTAGGAATTACAACATAAAATTCTCAAAGTTGAAGGACTGTGCAACATAACAAATGACATAAGATTTAAGGTTCCAGATATTCTCAGTATGTGACATAAACCATAAAATTGTTTCTCATTTCCCACTGCTATGAGGAGGAGCTGAAATGTGGCAAAAGCTCCTGTCAGCAATGGATATGCCACCTCAAAGTATTTGCCTACACAACAGTTACTGAATCTGTAAAGAGGGTAACTCTCACCTTTTTAAACTGTTTTTCCTTGCAGCAGACCTGGTAGTTCTTTTAGTAATGTCTGTACTGTCAGAAATGCTAGGTTCAGAGGTTTTATTTTTCTGAACACTGGACTGCAGAATTACTCTGAAAACAGTAGGGAAAAAAAAGAAATATTATATAACCTGAAAGTTTCTAGGAAAACACTGAAAAGAGGATATTACAGTTGCAGCAGAGCTAACAAGTATCAGCTGGCTTTTCACAAATTGCTCTGAAAAGCAAACTGTTCTGCCTGAAACACATCCTTCTCTTTATAACATCCTTGTTACAATTATGGTAATGCAAGTTGTTTTATTAGGATCATACCAGTTTGTTTTATTATTGGTTTGGGGTTTTTTTAATTTGCTTTCAAAGAACGGATTCAATTAGTGGGTTTGAATTTCCTGTTAGGTTTTTGGAACACAAAAAGCTAAGAAATTGTATTTTAAATTACTGCAACAAAACAACAACAAAAAAAGATACAATGTGAAGTATGTGACAAAACCATTCAGTATTTTCCAGACTGATACAGAAAGGTATTCAGAAAAAAACCCAAGTAATGCAATTTGTGAAGATCAAAGTCTGAATCTCCTGCAATTAACCATGAGGTACTCCTTTCAAACACAGTAGGCTAGGAAAATCATTGCATATGCTGGCATTTTGCTCTTACAGGGAATTAATACACCATACTCAAAACTCAGCTTTACATGCTGGTTGTGCTCAACCACTTTTCTGGAAGACTCTAGAGCAATATATTGACTATTTCTTAAACAGGCAAATAAATCCTAGCATTGCTTACATCAATAAGAAAAGAATTCCAGATTGTGAAATGCAAACAACTATTTTTAGCACCAGCCAACTGGTTCATAGGGAAACCTTGTCTTCTGTATTCCTGAATACTTGTAGTGAAATTATGATACTATAGATAAAATGTGACAACTGGTCAACGGAGCCCAGAGATACCTATTTAGTGCATAATTTTATATGTCTGTTCCTTAGTCACTCCATCTATGCAAGGTTCCAACTATAAAACTATGCATCATTTTAGAGATTCAGAGCTAAGAGTAACTTAGCTATTACTGTTTTTTTTTTCCCTGCTGACTCTAGTTTTCAGTGGCTTCACTGAGTCCATCCATGTCAGTAGATTCTATTGGACTGGAAATCAAAACCTTCATTAAGTTGTATAAACTGCAGTCTGGTTGCTTAATACTCTGAAGAAACTGTTTTCAATGAAGCCTAGATGTGAACATAAAGTGTAAGTTTTGCAGCAAAAGTGGACAAGCATACATTGGAGAAAATACGAGTATTTTCATACTCATGTTAACATATTCACCAAAACAGAAATGGAAAAAATAAACCCTATGCTTTCATTGTTTTATATGGGTTTGATATCAGAATTAGAATATGCATCCAAGATAACATAATTTCATCTAAAATAAATTCTTTACAGCAGTAAAACGGATCAGCAAACTTATCTACCACATACTTCTTAGCAAACAGATGACTACAGAACTACAAAGTTTAAGTATTTTAAATTTCTACTTGAAGAAGTCTCTTTCAATATTTCAGACTTGGAAAATCTTGTCACTTGATTTGCAAAAGTCCAAACAGTCTTCTCTTCCTCCAAGATAAGATACAAGTTTGTATTGGCATGT